ATGCTCTTAATGTACCTATCAGTCATCTCTGATTAAAATCATCAGAAAACAGCAAGTAATGATCACATTACTGGGACAACTTTGGAACTACAACAGATTATAGGTGGCAGCCTGGCTCAGCTGGTAGCTCACTATTATGGTTCACTGTCTCCTTGTAGTATGTGTTACATCTTTTTTTACGTTTATTATATTGGTACATTTTATCATCCATCCCCCACCTTCAAATCCCACCTGAAGACCTTCCTTTTTGATCGTGCTTCCCTCTCCCCTTAGCTTGTTGTCAGACTCCGCCAATATGAAGCACTCCGTGACACTACCCCACCTGAGGGGCACTATATAAATGCAAGTTGTTGCTGCTGCACACTTGAAGTTCATACTACTGTATTTATCATTGATGTTTACCCTTCCGTGTTAGACTTTCATGCTACAATTCGGTACCTCCAGGAGCTATTTGGATTTTTCTTTACTTAGAAGGACCCCCCCTCTCAAGGAGCGAACTGGTTTTGTATCACTTCTCTTTGTTTCGTCTTATTTTCTCCCCCTCCTCGCTTTTTTTTATTTAAACAAAATATATACAGGTATTTATTTATTAGTAAAATATATATTTACATTTAAATCAAAGAAATAATTCCCTGACAGAGAGAAGAATGTAACTCATTATTATCCCATTAGAGCCCACTACAGCACTCTCCAGTATCCAACTAAAGTGACTATTCCTCCCAAGTATAATTTAATTTAATATTTAATGGGGGTGGGGGGGTGAAATCACAGGGAACCAAACCCTGTTTTTTTTTACCCGAAATTCACAAATAGACATTTACCAGCAGGTGTCACTGGTTTGTGATCAAAAGCAGCAAACGTGGCTGAATTTCCCCCCATCACTCACTGAAGGATCCTATGGCAAATTGCAGTACCTCCACTGCTGACCTCAGCTGACATGAGCTAACTCAATACAGACCAGGAATCGAGGCAAGGACCTTATGGGGCTGTGTCTCACTTTTTTTTCGCAGATATTTGGCAGTTTTACCAACTGAGCCGACTTTAATACCAGTTTAAATTTTTACTTCACAATTGATTTCAAGTACAGTACTTTATTTTCATGTTGGTTGATTGCAGGTCAGGAAAGATCACAAGAGAGAGGTTTGGGATGAAGAATGAACCTATTTTAGTCTATTTGATCTCTTCCTTCCAGAATACCAAGTCTGTCCATTCTAGTATCCAGTTCCTGTTGTTCTTCAATGACCCCAGTATGTTAGTTTGATTCTTGACTGAAGGGGAAACTTTTGTGAAATCTGGTTATTAACTTTAATCACAACAGTGGAGAAACTTTGAGCACTGAACTCCCAGCAGTAAAACAAAATTTGCGGTGAAGCAGCCCTGTCCTTTAACTACACTGCTAATTCCTAAATGCACCGGTTTCTCTAATAGTTTCAGCCAACTGTGTTCTTAATAAGATAAGCTTGTTCCCCCAGAAGTCCAGTATTAAGCACATTTTGATCACATCAACTGCAGGCTTCTCTGTACTTGTGGGTCAGCTTTTCGTTTTGCATTGGCAAAAGATGAATTGACCATGTAAGCATTCCCTGGACAGTTTCAGGAATTCGATGGGATCGCCAGCAGCAAAACCCTGAATTCCTTCTCCATCCGTCTAATAAACAGCGCAGGAAGGGGATGTGAATGCAGATTTGCTGGAAACGTGAGAACAGATAGGAAGGGGCTTTGCAATGTTGTGTTGTGGTGATGCAGGAGGAGAGAGAGCGAGTGTGTGTGTTATATGTGCGTGTTATGTGAGCAATCGCATGCTATAATTTCCAAGGTTGGCTTTCCTTTCCACTTCCCTGAGACAGGGAAGGTTGGAGGGAGAGGGAGAGAGTTTAAGTTTGTGATGAATGTTTGTGCTAATATAAAGGTGCCTTTCCCCCCATCTCTGAGTCCATGTGGCTTTTGCTGCTTCCTTGTAAGTGACTTGAGCCACTTCAGCTGAGTGCAAACCACCTTCTACTCCTCAACTTACTTTTATATAACTACTGTATTACAACAAAAACTTTCGCCTCCAACTTAAAGGAGTGGAAGAAATGTAAGGTGGATGGGGTGGGGGGAAGCAATACCGCTTTCTCCCAAGTGACAGCGAGGGGAGGAATGACAACATCAGGAAAAAAGGCAAAATAAACTGTCTTGACAAAGAGTGAGAGAGAGCGAGGGGATCTGCCTGAGAGTGAGAGAGAGGGGATCTGCCTGAGAGTGAGAGAGGGGGGCATCTGGGAAAGAGAGAGAGGGGGGATCTGCCTGAGAGTGAGAGAGGGGGGCATCTGGGAGAGAGAGGGGGGGATCTGCCTGAGAGTGAGGGAGAGGGAATCTGGGAGAGAGAGAGGGGATCTGGGGGAGAGAGAGAGAGAGAGAGAGGGGATCTGATGCCTAAGGGTGAGAGAGGGGGGCATCTGGGAGAGAGAGAGAGGGGTGATCTGCCTGAGAGTGAGAGAGGGGGGATCTGCCTGAAAGTGAGAGTGGGGGGGGGGTCTGCCTGAGAATGAGACAGAAGGATCTGTGTGAGAGAGAGAGGGAAGGGAGCTGTACGTGAAGGAGGGGAGCTGTGAGGGAGGGAGGGAGGGAAGAAGGGAGGGAGGGGAGCTGTGAGGGAGGGAGGGAAGAAGGGAGGGAGGGAGGGGGGCTGTGAGGGAGGGAGGGGAGCTGTGAGGGGCAGGGCAGGGGAGCTGTGAGGGAGGGAGGGGAGCTGTGAGGGGAGGGGAGCTGTGAGGGAGGGAGGGAGGGAGGGGAGCTGTGAGGGGCAGGGCAGGGGAGCTGTGAGGGAGGGGAGCTGTGAGGGGCAGGGCAGGGGAGCTGTGAGGGGAGCTGTGAGGGGCAGGGGAGCTGTGGGAGGGGCAGGGCAGGGGAGCTGTGAGGGAGGGGAGCTGTGAGGGAGGGGAGCTCTGAGGGGCAGGGCAGGGGAGCTGTGAGGGGAGCTGTGAGGGGCAGGGGAGCTGTGGGGAGGGGCAGGGCAGGGGAGCTGTGAGGGAGGGGAGCTGTGAGGGAGGGGAGCTCTGAGGGGCAGGGCAGGGGAGCTGTGAGGGGAGCTGTGAGGGGCAGGGAGCTGTGGGGAGGGGCAGGGCAGGGGAGCTGTGAGGGGAGGGGCAGGGCAAGGGAGCTGTGAGGGAGGGAGGGGAGCTGTGAGGGGAGGGGCAGGGCAGGGGAGCTGTGAGGGAGGGAGGGGAGCTGTGAGGGGAGGGGCAGGGCAGGGGAGCTGTGAGGGAGGAGGGGAGCTGTGAGGGGAGGGCAGGGCAGGGGAGCTGTGAGGGAGGGAGGGAGCTGTGAGGGGAGGGCAGGGCAGGGGAGCTGTGAGGGGAGGGGAGCTGTGAGGGGAGGGGCAGGGCAGGGGAGCTGTGAGGGGAGGGGCAGGGCAGGGGAGCTGTGAGGGGCAGGGCAGGGCAGGGGAGCTGTGAGGGAGGGAGGGGAGCTGTGAGGGGAGGGGCAGGGCAGGGGAGCTGTGAGGGAGGGGCAGGGCAGGGGAGCTGTGAGGGGAGGGGCAGGGCAGGGGAGCTGTGAGGGAGGGAGGGAGGGGAGCTGTGAGGGGCAGGGCAGGGGAGCTGTGAAGGAGGGGAGCTGTGAGGGGGGGGCAGGGTAGGGAGCTGTGAGGGGAGGGGCAGGGCAGGGGAGCTGTGAGGGAGGGAGGGGAGCTGTGAGGGGAGGGCAGGGCAGGGGAGCGGGGAGGGCAGGGCAGGGGAGCTGTGAGGGGAGGGCAGGGCAGGGGAGCTGTGAGGGGAGGGGCAGGGCAGGGAGCTGTGAGGGGGAGGGGGAGCTGTGAGAGGAGGGCAGGGCAGGGGAGCTGTGAGGGGAGGGGCAGGGAGGGGAGCTGTGAGGGGAGGGGCAGGGCAGGGGAGCTGTGAGGGAGGAGGGAGGGAGGGGAGCTGTGAGGGGAGGGGCAGGGCAGGGGAGCTGTGAGGGAGGGGAGCTGTGAGGGGAGGGGCAGGGCAGGGGAGCTGTGAGGGAGGGGAGCTGTGAGGGGAGGGGGGCAGGGCAGGGGAGCTGTGAGGGAGGGGAGCTGTGAAGGGGGAGGGCAGGGGAGCTGTGAGAGGGAGGGGCAGGGCAGGGGAGCTGTGAGGGAGGGAGCTGTGAGGGGAGGGGCAGGGCAGGGGAGCTGTGAGGGGAGGGGCAGGGCAGGGGAGCTGTGAGGGGAGGGGCAGGGCAGGGGAGCTGTGAGGAGGGGAGCTGTGAGGGAGGGGCAGGGGAGCTGTGAGGGGAGGGCAGGGCAGGGGAGCTGTGAGGGAGGGGCAGGGCAGGGGAGCTGTGAGGGGAGCTGTGAGGGAGGGCAGGGCAGGGGAGCTGTGAGGGAGGGGAGCTGTGAGGGAGGGCAGGGCAGGGGAGCTGTGAGGGAGGGAGCTGTGAGGGGAGGGCAGGGCAGGGGAGCTGTGAGGGAGGGCAGGGCAGGGGAGCTGTGAGGGAGGGGAGCTGTGAGGGGAGGGCAGGGCAGGGGAGCTGTGAGGGGAGGGGCAGGGCAGGGGAGCTGTGAGGGGAGGGGAGCTGTGAGGGAGGGGAGCTGTGAGGGGAGGGCAGGGCAGGGGAGCTGTGAGGGGAGGGGGGGAGGAGGGGAGCTGTGAGGGGAGGGAGGAGGGGAGCTGTGAGGGGGGAGTGGGAGGGCAGGGCAGGGGAGCTGTGAGGGGAGGGGAGCTGTGAGGGAGGGAGGGCAGGGGAGCTGTGAGGGGAGGGGAGCTGTGAGGGGGGGGAGCTGTGAGGGGAGGGGAGCTGTGAGGGAGGGGCAGGGCAGGGGAGCTGTGAGGGGAGGGGAGCTGTGAGGGAGGGGAGCTGTGAGGGAGGGAGGGGAGCTGTGAGGGGGGGAGCTGTGAGGGAGGGGCAGGGCAGGGGAGCTGTGAGGGAGGGGAGCTGTGAGGAGGGGCAGGGCAGGGGAGCTGTGAGGGGAGGCAGGGCAGGGGAGCTGTGAGGGAGGGGAGCTGTGAGGGAGGGGAGCTGTGAGGGGAGGGGAGCTGTGAGGGAGGGGAGCTGTGAGGGGAGGGCAGGGCAGGGGAGCTGTGAGGGGAGGGCAGGGGAGCTGCTCTTGCTGTGAGTTGGCTGTTGGGGAGCAGGTTGCAGGCTGAGCGCCCTGTGAGTTGCAGTGAAGATGACTGAGGAGGGGAAAGCTGAGAGCAAAGGAGACATCATCAGCGGCAAAGATCTGGAGAAACAGCTTCGTCTCCGAGTCTGTGTTTTGACTGAAATCCTCAAGACTGAGAGCGATTATGTGGAGACGTTGGAGTTTCTGGTCTCTGTAAGTTATACTGACATGAAATCTGTTTGATTTTTTTATATATAGACATATAAAACAGTATATAATGTATGTATATATATATATATACCCTGTATTTACACACAGGGTGACCAAAAAGTGATGCCATTACAATCTCTAATAAATCTTAAAGAAATGATTTTTTTTTAGATAATGGAGTAGTTATCACGACTTTTTGGCCACTCGACCTGAGTGTCACAGAAGGTCTCTCAGCTGCTTTCAGTCAGTCAGTCAGTCAGTCAGTCCATAGAATCATAGAATTATATAGCACAGAAGGAGGCCATTTCTGTGTTATTATATAGTTATTATATATAGGGTGACTGACTTGGCAAAGGAGATGGTTGGGGGGAGTTTATTCTCTCTCTCTCTTTTTCTTTCCATGGTTTGAATGTGTAGAGAGAAGGCAATCACGTTTGTTATATGTGTGTGTGTGTGTGTGTTGTATGTGTGTGTGTTGTATGTGCGCGTTTGTTATATATGTGTGTGTTGTGTGTGTGTGTGTTGTATGTGTGTGTTTGTTATATATATGTTTGTGTGTGTGTTGTATGTGTGTGTGTGTCCTTCTCTCCTCAACCCCCCCCCCCCCCCCCCACACCCCAACAAAAAAGAACATAAACTGCACACACTTTCAAACTTCTCAGGCAGTGCTTTTAATTTATTTCTCTCTCTATATATATATAACAAGTAGCCAAGTGTGGTTTGGGCTGGATTTGACAAGCACTGCTTTGAGCTGAACGGTTCAGTCGAGCTCCACACACACACACAAGTTTACTTTACTGATCTCTCTACTGTAAGTCAGTCAGTCAGTCCCCACCAGCCCCTCTCTCTCTCTCTCTCTCTCTACCCTCCACATGTGGTTAAATGCCCTGCTCGGTGCCATGACTCCCATTGCTTCAATCCCATCACAAGAGCCAGGCAGCTCCCTTGGGAGGAAAAGTGAGGTGCCTTGTTATTTTTTTTGGGGGGGAAGGGTGTTGGTTGAGAAATATCCACGTTCCCAAACCAGCAGCGTTTCGACCAGCAAAGGAGTTGGGTGGCAGATTGAGGGGCAGATGGTGAGAAAGTTCTCACAATAACAATGAGCAGCTCCTGCGGGAAATACATGGGAAAAGGCCATTTAGCTCCTCTGATTACAGAGGAAATGACGCGAATCCCCCTGAATTTAGTGCCTATTTATACAAACTTTATTTCCTGACCAAAGGGAGCCTGGAGGGACTTGAGGGGCTGGGGGTGGGAGGGGGCTGTGGGGGGGGAGAGGACACACAATAGGGCAGTAAAATAGTCAGGATTGAAGAGGAAAACCATAACAAAAGTGGGATGGATTTCTTGCTCTTGCTCAATGCAACAGGGGTGTTCTGTACTGCTTTATAAGTTTCAGAGAAAACACATGCTCAGGAATTGTGGAGTCCTGTAGCTCAGTGGTTAGAGCACTCGCTTTGCAAGCGAGAGACCTGAGTTCAATTCCAGGCTGAGGGCGAAACCTTGGGCAATTTTCCTTACTCCACACAGAGCCTAATAATAATCCCTCCAAAACAAAAAAAGCAATAATAAATTGGTCATTTTCAATCCACGACTGTTTGTGGGACATTGCTGTGCGCAATTGGCTGCTGCGTTCGCCCACAAATATACAGTCAATTCACTTTACAGTGTGTTCTGTGAAGCGCTTTGGGACGTCCTCCCGACGTGAAAAGCGCTATATCAAATGCATGGATTATTTAGTTTTTAAGCGCTCTGAGATGCTATACTGTGTGAGGGTTGCTATGTAATTGCAAGTTGTTGTTGTTACACTGAGCTGACACGGTGTGTAATAATATTATCCTTATATAACATCTTATGTTGTTGAGCTGTCTCAAAGTGCTTCACTGAATATAATGTAAAGTGGATTGACTGTATAATTTATAGGTGAAACATGAGGTGTAGTTCTTTGTGATACTATGCACTCCTGCTCAGGGAAGGAAGAGTCCATGTGTGCTCAGAGAATCCATAACGTTTCATAGTTTGACAGTTTGACAGTTTCGGGCAATAACACTGGCGGCACTCCAGTACTGTATTACTACATGAGTTAAACTGACCCATTGAGACAAGCCATTAAAAAATTGGTGGCTCACTTCAAGGCTGTGTTTGTGGGTCATTACTGCACACACTCACCACACTTCATTCATTGGTGTGTGTGTGTGTAAAGGCATCGAGTGTGCTGCTGTTACATATGTACATCCAATATTGTACATCATAAATCTTATACAGTGTTACATCCTGTGCAGGGTAAGCTGGCAGACACGAGTAGAGAATTCTTCTCACTTTTAGATTAAAAAAACCGAAATGGGCTGTTTAGATCTGACTTTCTGAGTAGATTCAATCATCCAATCAGATAATAATATAATAATCCTTGCATTTGATATTTTTCACGTCTTCTAGAAGTCTCAAAGCGCTTCACAGAATAGACTGTAAAGTGGATTGACTGTATAATTCATAGGTGAATGCATATTTGTGGGCGAAAAGGGTATCTCAGATCAAGCTGCTTTTGGAAATCTGACTAAATTGTTACAGATGATGAATGAAAACAATAACAACCTAATAATAACATAACCAAAAATAACAGCTGATTTTACCGAATCTGTACTCTACTTAATCTTTTCCGGTGCCACTTTATTATAATAATAATAATCTTGCATTTGATATAGTGCCTTATCATGTCTCCGAGACCTCTCAAAGCGCTTCGTAGAATATACTGTAAAGTGAATCAACTGTATTTTATTCTCTATTTAAATGCTGCTTTTATCTTGTATTATGTCTCTTGGACAACTTGGAGTCCTATCTTACACCTAATGTCCTAGCTATACTAGATATAGCACTTCACTTTTTCCCACTAAATTGATAGAATTATATAGCTATATAATGCAGTAATATCAGCTTGGCGAGGTTGGTAGCACTCTTGTGTCTGCGTCAGATTGTTGTGGATTAAAGCCTCCCTGTCAGGAATTGGAACTGACATCGTCTGTGCAGCACTCCAGTGCTACATTGTTGGAAGTGCCGTCCTTCGGATGAGACGTTAAACTGAGGTCCTGTCTGCCTGTTCAGGTGGGTGTGAAAGATCCCATGGAATGATTTGAAAAGAGAACAGAGTTTCTCCTGCTGTCCTGGCCAACAATCGCCCAAATAAACTTGGCCATTTATTTCATCGTTGTTTGTCGGACATTGCTGTGTACCAATTAGCCTCTGCATTTGCCTATAAAATACAGTCACTTCACAGTGTATCCTGTGAAGTGCTTTGAAACAGCTGCCCAATGTGAAGGGCACTTTATCAAATGTAAGGGATTATTATTTTATTGAGTGGCAGTGCAGCCATGGCTGCACTGTGAGGCCTATTGTGACAGAGGGCACCACCTCTATCACTGGAGCACACAGACAGGCAGTTCAACCTCATCCTTGTGTTAAAATAAAACCTTATATTTCCTTGTCTCATTTGCCTCGCTTTTTCTTTCTTCTACTTTGTTTTGGTTTTCTTGGCCCTCTCTTTACAAGAGCGCACACTGAAACGTGGCTATAAATTGTACCCTCTCCTGCTTTATATAGGCCATCACCAAACTTGAGCAGCGCTCAACCACCCAAGCTGTTTATGTAGTTTATTACTGCATACTGGTCATTCACTTGGCTGTTTGTAGGACAATGCTGTGTGCACATTGACTGCTACGTTCAATGTAGCATAAATCAACACATGATGCATCCTGTGCAGGGTAAGCTGGCAGACATGAATAGATAATTTTTTTTATACAAAAAGTACACTGTCACTAGTCTTTACAGGAAATCCTATGATTATTGTAAGGTGTAGTGACTGTATTAGAAGGCAAATATGGCAGATGTTTACATTGCAGGAAGGATTGTTGCTAGGGTATCGGGATCTTTAAACTCCCTCTCTTTTTGAGTAGTGCCATGAGACTTTTAATGAGTCTATAGCATATAAAAACATTTACAAGCACTGGTTGTGTTTTTTTCCCCCCAACCTTTACAACTCTGAAAAAGTGACAAGTTTCCAAAGTTTTAAAGGGCAATTTCAGGCCAGATTGCAGGAAGTTCCTCTTTACTCTCTGAGCTCTGTTAATCGCACTGAGATGATATCCTGCATGGTGGGTGCTATATAAGTACACGTTTTTGTTACTCAGAGTGTAACTAATGATTGAAACAGGTTGCAAGGAGTGATGGTTGAGGCTAGGACACTGGACTCATTTAAAAAGCAGCTTGATGCTGTGATGGGGGAGGCAGTGGGGTGAGTGTTCTGGAAGGATGAGATTGGATGGGTTGAAGAGCCTTCTTCAACCAAACAATTGTGACGTGCAGCGTATAACTTTACTTTGTGGGAACTCAAGTCGAGAGGTAAGAAGTCTGGTTTCAGACTGTTGGAATTGAAACTGGCTCCTCTTACTTGGACACAGTCTTGATGTGTGGGCACTAGGGTTTACACTTAGGCTAACACTCCAGTGTAATATTAAGGAAGTGTTACTTCAACTGTAATATTGAAAGAGTTGATCTTTGGATGGGATAGCCTGCATGTCTGCCTTTTCAAGTGAATGATAATGATCCCATGATGCTATTCAAAAGCAGAAGGAAGTTTAATAATAATCCTTGATTTGATATACAATACTTACTTATCACGTCGTCGAGATTATCTAAATGCATTTCACAGTTTCTCCTTTTATCCTGGTAAATTGGTTAATCACTTCATAGCTGTTTAAGGCACCTTACTATTTGCAACAATTGATAATAGTTACCCTAAAGTGCTTTAAATTGTCTTGAGTGATAAAAGTGCTCTTCTTTCTTGAAATGTTCGGGAGAGTAGATACCATCTATTTTATTTGGTTCTCTGTGCATAATAGCACTTAGAATCATAGAATTATACATAGAATTATACAGAAATTATACCTTTCGGCCCATCGTGTTGTTGAAAAGAGCTATCCAAATCAATCCCCCTTCCCTGCACTCCACCC